ACAAAGTTTTCATGACTAATAGCCAATTAGCAAAACAACCTGTTTCGTGGCATTGCTAATTTTGTCTCGCACAGGGGTCGGCAACCCGTGGCTCTTTCATCCTTATACTGCGGCTCTGAGTGGCTTGGGAAAATAAATTGCTAAAAAAAAACTAAGTATTTCATTTAAGTCCGTGTTTCCCGCAGCACTATCTTGGTTAGCAACAGTTTTTTTTTTATGTAACTAAGTAACTTGTACTTAAAATACATTTTAAATTAGCTACTTATTACTTGTACTTGAGTAATATTTCATCCAAGTATTGGTACTTTTACTTGAGCATGATATTTTAGTACCTTTTCCACCTAGAGGTCTGAAATTTTCTGCATTTGTGATTGACATGATGTAGAACAAATATACCTGCTTTTACTCAAGCATGTCTTTTTTACTGCTGTTCAAAAAAGACCCATCATTTCCGATTTTTCTTTGAGTCATGTTTGAACTGATGCAGGTTGGTCTGTGTTCTACTCACCCAATTTTAATTTATATATTAGGAGACTAGCGGGGGTTAGCTTTCAAATAATGCATCACACATGTAATTTGGGCTTAAAGTTCCTAAGTTATTTGCTTTTCCATTTGGGTATGCAAAATAGGTGAGGATTACCCAAAATGAGGTGGATGTTAAGAGTTTAAAGGACTAATGTTGAAAAACTACTTCCTGCTTCGTTCGTAGAAACTAAGAAAGTAGATGAGACAGCTCCAGGCGCTGCTGCCTGCATCCTCACCAGGACTAAAAGAGTGGAGAACATCAGCCCGGCTCTAAACTCCTTCCTCTGGCTCCCTGAATCTCAGATGATAGACTTTATATTACGGAATGTCTGAGCTCTGAAATACATTACAGACTGGTTGGAAGGGGATCGACAGCCAGACCCCTCAGACCTACTGGATCAGAACCAAACATGGAGGAGCAGCTTTTAGGAAAAAACTTGCAGAAAACTGGAAAAGTGTTAAAAACCATAAATGTCTTTAAATCCAGAATAAAAGGGTTTAAAGTGGAGATCTGAACTTAACTCGTTTATTTCATTACTTCTGTCACTGAAATTTACTTTTTTCCATTTTTGTTTCTTTAAGTTCAGATTTTTAAATTATTAAAATGTCCAACTTGGTTTCTCCTCCTTAACCTCTAGATTAAGTTGGTTTGTTCTTGAACTTTTCAGGTAAACTGGATTTAATTTTTTATTTTTTTATTTACGGACCTTTAAGCTGCAGTGATGCGGATCGTATTCGTTAGGAACCAGAACAAAGTCGGCTTTGGAATCTTTGGCAAAATTCTGCCGGTTTTATTTGTCATGTAGTAAAAATGACTCGTTGATCAGCTGGATTCTGTTTGCGAACTTTGGCAGCAACGATGAGCCGGATGGAGGAGGCACTGCTCGCCATCTGACCTGCAGCTCCGGACCTGGGACTACTCCGCTCCACTGAAACGCTCCAGTGCAGCTTCCTGCCGCTCAAAGAGCAAAACTCCGTCGCCAGGGAGATATTTGATGGCTGTAAAAAGATGACAGGCCATAGAAAGGATGCAGAGCGACGGTGATTCCATAGGAATAAATCTCTCCCTTCCAGAGACACAGACAGGAAAATGACTTCTGCACGTTTTAAAAAAAGCTCCCAGAGATGCCGGGATGGCGTGGAAACCTCTGCACCTCTCATCTCTGAGGGAAGCGTTCAGTTCTTTGATGTTTGCGTGGACTCCAGAAGGTCCTTGGCAGCAGACGACAGGTTGTACAGCAGCTGTCTGGCCACGCCCTCCTGCACTTTGGCCCAACTTAAACAGTCGTCTACGGCAGCGTTGATCGCTACGCAGACGTCTTCCTTCTGCAGGTCGGTCAGCCGGCAGGCGGCGGCGGCTCCAGCCAATCCCAGCGTCAGCAGGAGGAGGAGCTTAAAGATCAGGCCGATGAGAGAACGCTGCGGTTTAGCTGCTGGCTTCACATCCACCTTTTTATCTGTGGAGACAGAAAGGAGGCGGGTCTTAGAGCAACATCCTGAGAAGCAGAAACCAGCATCAAAGCTCCAACCCCCACCTGCTGCCTGGCCGTTCTTCTTCTTCTTCTCCTCACTCTTCTTCTTCTGCTGCTCCTTGGCAGCCAGAGCTGCCATCTGAGCGTTGTACTCCTTCCTCCTCCTCTCCTTCTCCTCTGCCTTCTCCCGTTTACGAGCTTCCCTCTCTCTGGCCTCCCGCTCCCTCTGCTTCGCCTCCCTCTTCTTCTCCAGCTCTGAGTGTAAAAGAGATGGAAGCAGTTAAGCTTCAGAACAGTTCATGTTGAACATTTAGAGCCGTTTCCACAACAAGATCCTTCCTGTTGAACTCTGAGCCACCGACCTTTTTCCTTTAAAAGGCGCTTCTCTCGCGCTCGATCAAACTCCTCCTGTAAGGCCCTCATGTGCTGCAGGACCTGAAACACAAACGTCAGAGTTTCCCTTTTTATTTTAAGCTGTAATGAACATTTTGAAACATTAAAATGTTCTCAGTTAAATTCATTTATTATTTTTGAAATGGTGTGCAGAAAGTCAAACAAACATTCATTATATTTTCCAATGCTGTAAACTAGTGATGATTAATGAGGCATCATGAAACCAAACTGTATTGATTCTGTCTCGCAGAATACTGACACCTGCTGGACATTTAAAGACACTACAGGCAGCCGAATAAACTGAATTGATTTGATGACCTAGAACAATGACATCATTGAAATTATTGAAGGTTATATTTTATTATTTCACATCTACGTTAAAATTGAAAATATCTTTGATATTTTTAGATGCGGCCAATAAATAATGTAAACATATAACGTGATCATTTAGGGGGAAATATGAATGAGGATGCTTGTGAAATAGGATTTTAAATCATATTCTTAAAACAATAAGTGCAGTAAAAACAGTAAATAAACTAAGAGTCAATTTGAAATTAACTTTAATTCAGATAATCAAAATAAAAACTCAACGGCTGAAACGTTCCTATTCCTTTTAGGCTCCAAAATTCTTGATTATTTTAATCATAAACTGCAAAAGAGGAGACATATTTTTAGCAGATGCATCATGTTCATAGATACGTTTTTAAACCCAGTCAGTCGGTTAGAGACAGCTCATGCATCGTTTGGATGATTTTCTGCAAACGAGACGCGCACCGAGGGAGAATCAACCCATCGCTACTGTAAACATTTGTATAATAAATAAATTTAAACAATAAACATTTCTTTCAATGAAAAGTAGCATCATAGTCGTAGAGATCAGTGGTCACAGCCTGCTGCAGGTTTCAGCACGACGCGGCGCCAGGCAGGTGGCTGCTGTAAACAAAGCGGCGGGCGTGTCTCAGGCCGTGGATCCCAAAGGGAAAAAAGGAAGATAGATGCTGCATGTTTGCTTTGCAGTGAGAAGTTATCAAATAATAAAAAGAGTCTTAGAAAGGCGTTTCCTGGGAAGGCTGAATATGCAGCCGACCACCAAGCTGGGAGGAGAGAAAAACGGCGATTGTAGAACTTTTGGATAAATTAGAGGAGAGCAAAGATAGATCTAAGAAGTGGATTGAATCTCCAAACTATTGTTGCTAGTTTGGTTGCAAGCATAGAAAAC